AAAAGAAAAAGGCTACATTTGAAAATGTTGGAACTTTCTCTGCTTTTTAGTTCTATCTATTATTATTACCAGACACTTGATCTTATTTAAATGATCCCTTTAACACTTAATCCTATCTATTTGATCACTTTCACACTTAAGATGGCATTTTTACCACCCAGCTGAATGAGATTTGGGGTCCCATGGCAAGTTTTTAAACTGTGCCCTTAGAACTAAGTCCATAGGAATGTATGCAGAACTATACAGCTTTACAGTTAAAAACTTCCTCCTCCCTCTCTTATTACACTCTTATTTTTTACTGAGATATGTTTTCAGTTGACTTTACACAAATGACAGGCAAGACAAGGGTTGTTCAAGTCATTGCTTCTCAAAGTGTCAGTTTCACTTCTACAGATTACGTTTTAGGTGCTCTATTAGTTACCACAGATCACAAAGAATATATGGTATTTGTCCCTCTGAGACTGGCTTATATCACTAAGTATGATTTTTCCAGATTTATCCATTTTATTGCAAATGACCAGATTTCATTTGTTTTAACCACTGTATAATATTCCATAGAGTACATATCCCATAATTTCTTTACCCAGTCTTCAGTTGATGGGCATTTTGGTTGATTCCATGTTTTAGCTATTGTTAATTGGGCTGCAGTAAACATGGGGGCACAGATAGCCCTTTCGTATGCTGATTTCATATCCCTTGTGTAAATTCCCAGGAATGGAATGGTTGGGTCATAGGGTAGGTCTGTATTCAGATTGCTGAGGTATCTCCAAACTGATCTCCATAGTGGTTTTACCAGTTAACATTCCCACCAACAGTGGGTTAGGGTACCTTTTTCCCACATTCTCACCAGCATTTGTTATTTGTTGATTTCTGTGTGAAAACCATTGTAACTGGGGTGAGGTGAAACCTCATTGTGGTTTTGATTTGCATCTCCCTGATGGCTGATGATCCTAAACATTTTTTCATGTGTCTTTTGGCCATTTGGTTTTCCTCTTTTGAAAACTATCTATTTAAGTCCTTGGCCCATTTCTTAACTGGGTTTCTTGTTTTGTTGTTGTGGAGTTTCGTGATCTCTTTATATATTCTGGGAAAGCAGGGGAAGATGTCCCAAGTCCCTAGGTCCCTGCTACCCACGTGGGAGGCCTGAAAGAAGCTCCTGGTGTCAGCCTAGCCCAGCCTAGTTGCTGTGGCCATTTGGGGAGTGCATCAGTGGACGGATGATCTCTTCTCTCTCTTTCTCTCTCTCTCCCCCCTCTCTCTCCTTTCTCTCCTTCTCTCTCTTTCACCAAATGTAACTTTGACTTTCAAATAAATAAATCTTTAAAAAAAGACTCGATTCATGTTATAGCATGTGACAGTGCTCATTTCTTTTATGGCTAATATTCCATTTTAGGTACATATCACGATGTTTGTATTTGTGAATTCATTGATAGACATTTGGATTGCTTCTCCTTTTTGACTTCCACGAATGGTGCTACTGACATGGATTTGAGTACCTATTTAACTTCTTGGGAAACTGACAAGCTAGAGGCTGCAGTATTTTCCATTTCTACCAGAAATCTGTGAGGGTTCTATTTTCTGCATATTCTCTTCAAGACTCGTTATTTTTTGAGTTTTTTTTTTTTAATCCATCCAAGTGACTATGAGGTGACATCTTGTTTGAATTAGCATTTCTCTATTGACTGATCATATTAATCATCTTTATACTTACTTGTTGGTCATTTGAATGTTTTTTGTGGGCAAATATCTATCCAAGTTCTTTGCTTATTTATAATTAGCTTGTTTGTCTTTTTTAATATTTATTTTAATCATTTGAAAGAGTTAGGGAGAGAGGTAGAATCAGAGAGAGAGGTCTTGCATCTGCTGGTTCACTCCCCAGATGACTGCAATGGCCGATCCAAAGCCTGGAACCTCGAGTTTGCTCTGGGTCTCTCATGTGGGTGCAGGGGCCCAAGGACTTGGACTATCTTCTACTGCTTTCCCAGGCCTTAGCATAGAGCTGGATCAGAAGAGGGCAGCCAGGACTAGAACCAGCGCCCATCTGGGATGCCGGCACTTCACGCCAGAGCGTTAACCAGCTGCTCCACAGCTCTGGCCCCTGTCTTTTTTTCTTTAAATTTATTTTATTTATTTGAAAGGCAGAGTGATAAGAGAGAGAGGGAGAAAAAGAGGTCTTTCATCTTTTGGTTCACTCCTCAAATGGTTGCAATGAGACAGGTGAAACCAGGAGCCAGAAATTCCATCGTGGTTTAACAAGAGGGTGACAGGGACTCATGTATTTGGGCTATCTCCCACTGCTTTCCCTGGAGCATTAGCAGGGAGCTGGGTTGGAAGTGGAGCAGCTAGGACTGGAATGGGCAGTTCCATGGGATGCCAGCATGGCAGCTTTATCTACCGTGCCAAAACTCCAGCCACCTGGTTGTCTGCTTATTGTTAAGTCATATGAATTCTTTACCTATTCTGGACACTAGGCCCTTATCAGGTATATGAGGGTACTTCAAAAAGATCATGGAAAAGGGGCTGGCCCTGTGGCATGATGGGCTGAGCCTTCACCTAGGGAACCCACATCCCATATTGGCACTGGTTCATATCTCAGCTGCTCCTCTTCTGATTCAGCCCTCTGCTGTGGCCTGGGGAAGCAGTGGAAGATGACCCAAGTGCTTGGGCCTCTGCACCTGCATGAGAGACCTGGAAGAATCTCCTGGCTCCTTTCTTTGGATCGGCCCAGCTCCAGCTGTTACAGGCATTTGAAGAGTGAACCAGTGGATGGAAAACCTTTCTACTTGCCTCTCCCTCTCTCTCTCTGTAACTTTCTCAAATAAATAAATTTAAAAATCTTTTTTATGTAGTAAATATAAATTTCCAAAGTACAGTTTATGGATTACAATGGCTTAAATTTTTTAAAAAAGGTCATGGAAAGGATGCATATTGAGTAAATTATGCATGGATTTCAAACTTTTTTGGCACCACAGTAAGCGTTTCTTTTAATTCCATTTTTCTGTGAACCTTTTGGTGTACTGTCATATGATTTGCAATTGTTTTCGTCCGTCACATGGTCTGTCGTTTCACTTTCTTGACATACTTCATTGATATACAAAATTTTTTAATGTTGATGAAGTGCAATTTAGCTATTTTTCTTTTTTTTGTGTGTATTTTTTGTTGTCGTATCTAAGGACGCATTGCTATACCCAGGGTGTTGAATAATTACTGCTTGCTTTTCTAAGACTTTTGTCATTCTAATTCGTATGTTGAGGTTTTTGAGCAGTTGTGAACTAATTTTTGTATATGATGTGAGATCGAGCATCCAGCTTCATTTTTTGCTTGTGGTTATCCAGTTGCCTCAGCTCTAGTTGCTGAGGACAATGTTTTTTTTTTTTCACTGAATTTTCTCAGCAGTTTTTAAACCTCATTGACCGTAGCTATGTGAGTTTATTTCTGAATTCTCAGTCACATTCCATTCATCTGTATGATTGTTTATATGCCTGTGCTTATTTAGGTTGATACAGCTTTCTAGTAAGTTTTGAACCTGCAAAGTAAGAATTCTCCAAGTTTGTTGCTTTTCATCATTGTTTTGGCTATTTTAGACTTTTTAATATTATAAAAAGATTGAGACTTTTTTATCATTTCCTAAATGCCCTTTAATTTTAGAATTGATTTTTTAATTTCTGTTAAAAAGAAAAGAAAGACATTGATTGGAGTACATTAAATTTGTGGATTGCTTTTTATGTTATTGCCATCTTAAGAGTAGCAATCTTCCAACCTCTGACATGAGATTTCCGTCCATATAGTTAAATCAATTTGAATTGTTTTCTGTAATATCTTTTAGTTTTCAATATACAAAGCTTTCACTTCCTTGACTAAAGTTATTCCAGGGTGTGTTATTGTTTTGGATGCTGGTATATACAAATACAACTGAATTTTGTGTGTTGACCTTGTATTCTGCCTTTACTGAATTTACAAACTCTTAAGAGTTTTCTTGTAGATTGTTTGGGATTTATACTTATCTGCATGTTGACATGTATTTGTTAGTTTTGCTTGGGAATCATGATATAGATCTTTAATTTTCCATTGATATCCTCCTAACTACTCTTGCTTGTAGGTTTGCTACCTTGTAGTCTATTCTCCACATAATAGCTAGAGTGACCCTTCAAAATGATTAATCCAATCATGTCACTTAAATGTAAACCTTATGCCAGATTCTACATCAAAATAAAAGCTTAACTTAACAAAGCACTACAAACCCCTATATTAGCCACTGCTAATCAACACATTACCTCCTGTTCAAATGATAGCTATTATATTAGTGTGCAGTTTTGTACTGCTGTGTGGATAGTGGACAGTTAAGCCCTTACTTTGAAATATCGAGTTTTCCCCCTGAAACCTTGTCTTGAAGGAATAGAAACTTCATGCATTTCCTAAGTACCCCTTTAGGAATACCATATCTTCCCACAATCCCACCCATACTCTGCCCCACACTCCCACCCCTCTTCCTCCTCCCTCTCCTATTCCCATTCCTATTCTTTTCTACATTCTATTTCAATTAAGTATATGCACATTGGGTTAAGGCTCTACTAAGTAAAGTGTTCAACAGATTGTATGGGGAAAAAAACAAACTGTTCCTCCACAGTCAACCAAGGGCAGTTCAAAGACATTGCTTCTCACAGTGTGGATTTCAGTTCTATAGATGACCTTCTCGGGCTCTATAAGTTATCCCAGATCAGGGAGAACAAAGGGTGTATCCTCTTCACCCTGTCCCAACAACCAAACAAACCAAAACAAAAGCTAAAAAATTATCGCCGGACCGAGAATCTAACCCTAAGGTAATTAAAGAGGGATCATATTCAGAATGGTAGTTTATTGATGAAGTTGATTCAGTACAATCAATGAACACATGTAGGCTTTCCAAGTGTGTGCATGTTGTGGTATGTGTGCATGTGTGCGTGCCTGTGTCTGTGCATGTGTGTGTGCATGTGGGTATGTGTGATGTCTGTGAGTGTGTGTGGGTTGTGTGCATGTGTGCCTGTGTGTGCCTGTGTGTCTGTGTGGTGTCTGTGTGTGTGGGAGGGTGTGTGTCAGTGCATGTGTTCATGTTGGTGTCTGTGTGTCAGTGCATGGGTGAGTGTGTGTGTGTGCATGTGTGTATGTGTGGTGTCTCTGAGTCTGTGGGGGGGTGTATGTGTGGTGTCTGAGTCTGTGCATGTGGTGTGCCTGTGCATGTGTGTGTGTGACGTGGCATGGTGTGTGTGCATGCATAGGTATATTCCTGTGTGTGCATGTGTGGTTAGTGTAGAGGGTGATGTTGCACTTGGCAGTTTGGCAGCATTTGCAAATGGCTGCTCCAGTCCTCCTGTGTGCTGTGCAGGGAGCATGGCCCTTGGTGTGCGCGGCGGTGAGGCAGGAGCCTGGCAGGTGCTGTCAGGCCGCGGAGGCCATTGGCAGCTCCAGGGCCGAGCAGGGGAGGCGGGCTCTAGTGCGCAAGCGCAGGCTGGTCTCCTGGGCTTGGGGCCTAGCAGATGTGGGGCCCGGGTCGAGTGCCGAGTCCCAGCTGGCCAGCACCTCAGCGGGCCCGGGAAGAGGGACCGGACCAAGGCCTCTGCGAAGGGAAGTGAGCTGAGCGGCCAGGAAGGGAGAGGAGCCCCGCGGGAGGACAGCGGCTGAGCGGTGAGTGGCCATGGGCCGGAACGGGGGGTGGGGGCTGGGCGCCGCTGGACGCTGGTGTGGGCAGGGAGAAGGCCTTCTGAGAAGCCCGCCGCCCTCGGGAGGATGTGCCGGCGGTTGTCGGGAGGCCTGTGTGTGTCAGATGCTGAAGCTGCTCTCTGCTTTACGCACGGCCTTTCCAAACCAGCGGCTGTGGCTGCGTCCAGGGGTCCTGGATGGATGGACAGAGGCCAGGCCACCGAGGTGCCACAGGGGAGAGTTAGAAACACTGCAGGTCTTGTGCGTGATGCCCCTTGGTTCTTGAGCAAGCCTAGGTGACATGTAGAAGTCGTGAAATCGCTCTCTAAATCTCTTTTTGGTAAAACTCATGAAATGCATCTCTGGGGTCTGGAACTGTTGGCCATGTCTGTGGGGCTTGTACAGCCTGTGCTTGTTCTGTGGTCTGGAGAAATTGGGAGGCGATGAATTGTCAAAGGTCATAGAATGCTGTGTTCCTATTGGGAATATTTTCAGCCATTTTTCCATATGTTCTAATTTGAGTGAGATTTTCTTTTTTTTTTAACTTTTATTTAATGAATATAAATTTCCAAAGTACAGAATATGGATTACAATGGCTTCCCCCCCATAACGTCCCTCCAACCCGCAACCCTCCCCTTATCCACTCCCTCTCCCCTTCCATTCACATCAAGATTCATTTTCAATTCTCTTTATATACAGAAGATCAGTTTAGCATATATTAAGTACGGATTTCAACACTTTGCATTTTCTTTTAATACGTACAGAGTTTCTGTAATGGACAAAGTGCGTGTATTTTGTGACACCTGTTTTCTAGATGATTGCACAAGGGGCTGTGAAAAGGGTCGCAGATGCTCCTCCGCATAAGATCAGTGTTTGGGCTGTTCTGCTATTTTCTAACAGATGGTCTGCTACTACTGTAGTGCTTGAAAGAAGTAAGCCTGAAACTGGTGTTGGGCTTTCTATTGCTCAGGGCAGTCATGGGTGTAATCCCAATTGTGCGGATTTTCCTGTGGCACCTAAGATAAGTCCAGTTAGTGGGAGAATCGTAACATTGTGGTCTGTAATAAATATTTGTTGGAATTCCCATGTACTGAGGTTAATGGCGAATCAGGCTATAAGCTATAATAAAACCGATATCTCTAAAGTGATTATATAAAATTTCTTGTAGGGCCCTGGTGTTGGCATCTGTCCATGTAATCGTCCAATTAAGAGGAATGATATAATTCCTACACCCTCCCATCCAATAAATAGTTGGAAAAGAGTATTTGCTGTAACTAGAATTAATATAGTAATAAGAAATATTAATAAGTTTTTGAAGAATTGTTTAATTTTTGGGTCTGACTATATGTATCATATGGAAAATTCTGTAATGGACCATGTCACAAAAAGTGCAATTGGGGTAAATAGTAAAGGGAAATAATCTAGTTTAAACTAAATGTCAGTTTAAAAGTATGAATGGTCATTCAGTGCCAGTTGGAAATTATTGGTTCTTGGTTTGTTCTAATAAAAATTAGGGTTGGAATGAGCCTAATAACAAATGCATATGATACTGAAGTTTTTACAAAATTAAGGTAGCTAATGTTATTAAAAATGTTAGTGAACAAGGCTAGAATAGGTAGAACTAGAATGATGATTGAGAGAGCTACTAAAGTGGAGAATAAGTTAGTTCCTTTTATTTGGAGTTGCGCCAATGTTTTGGCTCCTAAGGCTAACGGATTACTTCTATCCTTTAAAAGTTAGGAGAGCCATGAAGTTAAGCATGGGTGCATGAGTTAGCATTTCTTGCAGACATTCTCGGTAAATAAGGAGAGTTAATCTTCTATTATTAGATTCACAATCTAATCCTTTCTTAAAACTCTATTTACAGAATATTGGCCTAGAATAATTTTTGGGTTAATAGATAGGAGAAGGAGTGGAGTTAGGTGAAGCATTATTAGAGTATTTTCTCAGGTGAATGTTGGTGAAATATTATTAGTATGATATGTAAATTTTCCTCTTTGGGTGGTAGATAATAGGTCAAGGGAATAAAGTACTGTAATTAGTACCTATTAGTGTTAGTGCCTATTAAAATAATAGTAAGATTAGATCATGAAAAGGATGTTATTATAACAAAACGTTCCCCTAGTAAGATAGTAGTAGGTGGTAAAGCAAAATTAGTGAGGCTAGCAAGTAGTCATCATGCAGCTGTTAATGGCAAGACAGTTTGAAGACCTGTGCTAATAGTATAGTTCGGCTATGAATACATTCATAATTAGAATTAGCTGAGCAGAATAATATAGAGGAGGTTAGGCCATGGGCAATTATTAGAACGGTGGCTCCTGTAGACTTCATGGAGTTTGGATTAAAATTGTGACAATTCCTAAGGCTATATGACTAACTGAAGGATAAGCAGTGAGTGAGTTTAGACTGTAACTAGTCATGCTAACCCAACAGCAGCTTTACAGGCTGTAATACTAAGAGGATAATTGGAAATATAAAGGAAAGTGTAAAGGGGGCATTTAGGGCTGTTAATGTAATTGTGATAAATAGTGATAGTATTATTCCGTCAAGGCATAAAAGAGAAGATATTGAGATTGATAGATTAGCATTCCTAAAAGTGCTAAGATAAATGCTAGGAAAATGTTAATACAGATTGATGGCATTTTGATAATGATGGAATTACCACAGTCGAATGAGTCAAAATCATTTATTTTAAGTAACTAATTATCATATTCAATTCATTCTAATCCTTTTGGGTTTCATTCGTAAGCTAAGCCTAAAGCTAGCATTGATATTAGTATGAGTACTATGATGAGAACTAGGTTGAGGTTGAATTGTGCTGCTCATGGGACAGGAAGAAGCAATTTCTAGGTTGAACAATACGAATGTATTGGCTGCTAGGAAAAATTTTACTGAGAATGGTAGGCGTGCTGATCCTATAGGGTCAAATCCACATTCGTAGGGGCTTGATTTTTCAGCGCAGGGTCCGGTGTCGTTCCTCTGCGAGTGCGGGAGCGACACAAATAAGTAAAAAAAAAAAAAAGGTGAAGTGTGACACTGGGGACTTAGTGCAGGTAATAGTGATAACAGTCCTAATAAATTATTTTTAAAAGAGAAAATCGTTTCAGTAATTTAGAACTACACTTAATATTGAGTGCAATTTAACTCAAATGACTCTTATTTTTACATTTGGATGCATAAAGTTGAGAATTTAGAATGTTCCAGTCTGAGCTCAAATGGCACTGGAATGGAGCATGTCTACTATCTGATGTCAAGAGAAAAACTGGCAAACTGGAATGTCCCAGGGGAATGAGCAGGCTGGGCAGGATGTAGAAACTGTGCCACATGACCTACACTGGGAAGAACTAGGAAAAAGAGACTAGAGAGAAATGAGATGCTTCTTTTCAAGGACATAAATGACTGTTGGGTAGAAAACGTTTCACCTTATAGTAACTGCCCTAAAATAAGCCCCCATGGAGCTGAGAAAACACATTTAAACTGAAAGTAATATACTCTGAAAACAGAATGAGGTTCTTCAATTGAGTTCCTTTTCAACAGGGCAGTGGCTAAACAATTAAATATATGGATTTTTAGAGGATATTTAAATAACATCAAATGGATTCTAAATGATCTTCTAATTCATGATTTTGTGATTTTTAGAACATATATGACAAGCACAGGCTCAAAATATTTTGTAGGCTGGTCTGATTGTGTTAGTATATATTACTGCTTTTTCTTATGAATCAGTGTCAAATTCCTTACAAGTAGGTTTCCCGAAGTAGAAGCTGCAGTTGGCAAGGAATCTTGGTACCTGACTTCCAGAACTCCATGAACAAAAATTGGGGCAGAAAGAGAGGAGGAGAGAGGGAGAGAGGAAGGGAGAGGGAAACCACTGCACTGCTACACTACTTCTTGGGGAGACACAAGGCATGTTAGTATGTTGCAGGTTCTGAAATGCCCTGTGTTAAAAGGAAAAAACATAGCATAACTCTTGAACTCTGCAATGACTATTCAGAGTCCTCCACTATACATATTTTCCTGACTTTCCAGCCTCAGTCTATAGACCTTCCTATCAAATCTCCACTCCAACCACCCAGGAACTGTTGTCCACATTTTGGCCCTGGCAATCTCTCTCTGTAAGAGGTTTAAATTCCTGCGCCTTCCCAAAGGGGTCTCCCCTCCTGACTCAGGTTCACACTCATCTGTCAGAGGCTCCGAGTGGTTCTATTTCATGAATTTCCTCATTAGCTCTTGGCCACACACAAGAATATAATACATTCTGATGTGCCTCACAACACCTACTGTGATGTTTCTCACCAGGTAGGTGTGTACAGTAAGCCTGTCTCAGATTATTCAAGGAGCTATAAGACAGTTAGAAGATGACATACCCATGCTGTATGGTTACTATTAAGGGCAGGACCTTCTTTAATCCTGGAAAGTAAATGGAGAAGGTACTGTCAAACCCTGAGCAGCGGTGTTTAGATGCAGCATTAGTGTAATTTGTATCAATTTTTTCTGAACAAATTGTTCTGTCTTTTGTCACTGTGGTCCAAACTAGATGACTGACCCCTAGATGGAAGCGTGAAGTTGAGGAGAGAAATGGCTTTATTCCCATGCATGAACCGTACTTTCATTGTTTCTTATTCTGTTTTCATTAAAATACATAACGTATAAATGTCCAGTGTATAATCATCCCCACCTTAACTGTTTTGAATGTAACAATAGTAGGTTTTCATATTGGCCCAACATGATGAAGATGAACCTTGTTCATTTTATGTGGACATGTACTTTATTTTTTTCAAATCTTGGTAGACACTTTTGTTGCCTTCAACGCTTAACTGTTAAAAACAACATTGCTGTAAACATGTATGGGTTTCTGTAGTGTGTGTACAATTGAAGGGGAATTTATGAGTAATAGGGAACCATATATTAAACTAACCTCGATATGTTCAGATTGTCTTTTGGAGTGATTCTAATGATGTCAGTAGAAGATGAGGTTCCTGCTT